GGGAAGCGGAAAGGGGAAGCGGAAAGGGAAGCGGAAAGGGGAAGGGGGAAGCGGAAAGGGGGAAGCGGAAAGGGGGAAGCGGAAAGGGGGAAGCGGAAAGGGGGGAAGAAGGGGGAAGGGGGACGGGGGAGAGACTGGCACATTGGCGGGACCCTCAGCCCTTGGCCAGTTACAGCCTACTGTGTATAGCCTAGCCCTCCCATGTACACCTGGAATTCACCACCCACCTGAGTGGCTCGCAGTAACACTCGTGCTGACAGGTTGACTGTGCCGCCCAGAAGGCGCAACCCCGGCCCCTTGGCCACAGGTGCTGCCTCGCCCGTGAGCATGGACTCGTTCACATGCGTGGTGCCTGCAGGTGGGGGGGTGGACGGGACAACCAGCAGGGAGAGCACGAGAGGAGAGAGAACAATGGAGGCATGAGAGGGACGGGCGGGTGGAATGAGCATCACTGGCATGGGGCATGGCAGCCTTAGCCACCGGTGCATTGGTGCGACTTTTGAAACTTCTCAAAAGTCGCACCAGCATGGCGCCCTGAGCCACCGGTGCTGGTTCGCTTGTGGGCATGGACTCGTTCACGTGGGTGGTGCTTGGGTGGGTGGAGTGGTGGGGCAAGGGGGATGGGGGGACAAGGAGAAAGGTTGGGAGGGATATGATCAGGGGAGCACCCAGTCAGCACGGCTCCCTTGGCCACGGTGCCCTCTGACCTCGCCCGTGAGCATGGACCTCGTTCACGTGGGTGGTGCCTTGGGGGGGGTTGAAGGGACGGTTAGGGCATCGGAAGGGAAGAGAAGCGCCATGAGTGTCACTTCCCATGCTGTCCACCCCACCCCCTTTGCCACCGGGGGCTGACTCGCCCACCAATCCCCCCAATTCACCCAACCACCCGTTAAAATCACTTCCGTCTGGCGCACTCTTGCCCCGGGCAGCACTCGCAGCACGTCCAAACTGGCCCCACTTCGACCTTCTATCACTCCCACCAACTACGCTCCTTACGCTCCTTCCACTCTCCAGCCAGCCACTCACCCGTTACAATCACACCGTCTGTGGGCACCCTCGCTCCCGGCAGCCCTCGCAGCACATCCCCTCTCTGCAGTAGCCGTGAATCAACCTCCCTCTCTGCCACCACCTTGCCGTCTGAAGGGGTTGTGAGGGTGGAGTGGGAAAGAGAGGGGCGAGGGTGAGACACAGGAGATGGCAGCACGCAGACAGCGCTCCCCTTCTCTGCAGCAAAGCGTGAATCAACCTCCCTCTCCACCACAACCTTGCCGTCCTGAAGGGGTGAAGAGAGTGGGGTGGAAGAGGGTGAAGGGATGGTGAGAGGGAAGGGAGAGGCAAAGGCGTCAGTACTGGCAGCACATCGACCCTCTGCAGCGCCGCGAGCCCAACTTCTCTCTCTGCCACCACCTTGCCGTCTGGTGGGATGAGGAGAGGAAACAGAGGGGAATAGAGAGGGGAAGAGAAGGGGAACAAAGCAGAGAGAGTCAGCACTTGAGGCACAAAACAAAAGCACATCTGCAGTCACACCACCGGCACAGCCATCAGAGGTGCCAGCTGCGGCGGCTTTTACCAGCACTACATCTGAACCGTGCATTCAGAGCAGCCATCCGTACCTGCATCATTCAGAGCAGTCATTCCGTACCTGCATTCAGAGCAGTCATTCCGTACCTGCATTCAGAGCAGTCATTCCGTACCTGCATTCAGAGCAGTCATTCCGTACCTGTATTCAGAGCAGTCATTCCGTACCTGCATTCAGAGCAGTCATTTCCGTACCTGCATTCACGTCCACCAAGACGGCCGTCGCGGGCGCCAGCTGCAGCAGCTTCTGAATCGCCTCGGACGTTTTCCCCTTCGCCACGGCTTCTAAATACTTTCCCCCCAGAATAAACACTATCAGCATCACAGACGTTTCGAAGAAATCGTGCCCTAAGTACCGCCCCGAACCGATCTGCACCGCGAGGGTCAGCAGAGAGTAGCCATAGGCCGCGGAGGTCCCGAGGGCGACCAGCACGTCCATATTCGCGCTGCCGTGGCGGAGCGATCTGAGCCCTGCGATGTAGAATCGACGGCCCAGATGGAACTGCACGGGCGTCGCGAGGAGGAGCTTCAGCCATTGGATGAGGGTCACGTGGAGGAAGGGGAGGGAGAGGAGCGGGGAGAGGAGGCGGGAGTGGGAGGCGAGGTTGAGGAGAAAGAGGGGGACGGCGAAGAGGAGCGAGAGGGAGAACTGGCGCGTGAGCGAGTGGAGCTCTGAGGAGCGGTCGGGACGGTACGAGCCGAGCATGCTCGGCAAGGCAACACGTAGCCCATGCGAGTGCGCATTCTTTCCTCCTCTCCCTTCTCCTCTCCTTTCCCCCCGCCTGTCTTCTCGCCTCCTGCTGACCTTCTCCGCGCCCCCATCGCTCCCCGACCCTCCCCCTCCCCCCTCCTTCCTCGCCGTCCCCGTTTTAAGGGTTCTGGACACTAGCTTCAAGACTGCATGGGCCCGTTCTGCCCACGGGCCCCGCTTCTTTCCTCGCCCGACCAGCTTCTCCCTCTCCTCGTCCTCTTCCCCACTCTCCTCCTTCACTCCCTCCTCCATAACTCCCTCTTCATCTCCCTCTCTCCCTTCCCCTTGCCTCTCCTCACTACCTTCCTCCTCTCCCTTCCCCTCCTCCCCATCCTCCCCCAACCAATCATCAACCTCCTCCTCTTCCTCCTCCCCACCCATCCCTAACCCCACCAGACTAATCGCCTCTATAGCTCCCACAACGTCCCTAATCCCCGTAATTTCCGGGTCGTATTCTACCTCCACCCATCCGCTCCTAGAATCTACACTTACCTCCCTAACTCCCGCCACCGATAACACCGCTACTTCGACCGCAGCTGCCACGTCATCCCTGCCGCTCATCCCCGTTACAGTCACGCTCAGCCTGTCGCTCCCGCTATCCGTGCCGAGAATCGCGGCGTCGAACCCGGCATCTTCCACCAATCGCAACGCGTCTCTCACGCCGAGAATCGCGGAATCGAACGCGATCTCCGCGGTTTCGGTGGCGAGTGCGACGGAGACGCGTCGCACGCCTTTCGCGGATTGGACGGCGGTGGTAACCGCTGTAACGCACGCGGCGCAGGTCATGCCGGTTATGCGCACTCGCACTGTGACAACGCCCGGCGAATGCGGACCGGATAATGCTGCATCTTGCGACGGAGCCGTTGCCGGTGCTGCCGCTGCCGGTTGATGCTGCTGCTGCTGCTGCTGCTGATAGCGGCTGTCCGATTTGCGACCGTTGGGATGACATTTCGAACGGTTGCGAGGAGGAAAGAAGGGGATTCGCGACAGACGCGGTGACCGCACTCGAGACCAGATTCGAGACCGCAAAAGGCTCGGTTTCCTGCCGTTTGCTGCGGTCGCGAGGGTTGTGAGGGTCGCGAGAGGGAGATGATTCTAGCGTCGAACCCGGCGTCTTCTACGGCGGTGACTATCTCGTTTTCATTCACTACAGCGGGGTCGAACGTGATCTGAGCTTGGTTCTGCAGCAGCGCGACGGCCGCGGCCGTGACTCCCGGCAATCTCGAGAGAGCGGTTTCCACGGCGGTCGAACACGCCGAACACGTCATGCCCTCGATTCCCACCACCACGCGCGCTGACGTGGCAGTAACGGAAGCTGCCGACGTGGAAGGTGCCGTCGCAGTTGGCACAGTTTCTGCTGCGCCATAAGCGGAGGTAGTAGCAGCAACCAGCGAAGCAGAGGGAACGGCAGGTGGATTAGCGGAAGCCGGAAACTGACGGACGGATGGTCGCGAAAGAGATATGATTTTCGCGTCAAACCCGGCGTCTTCTACGGCGGTGACTATCTCGTTTTCATTCACTATAGCGGGGGTCGAACGTGATCTGAGCTTGGTTCTGCAACAGCGCGACGGCCGCTGCTGTGACTCCCGGCAATCTCGAGAGAGCGGTTTCCACGGCGGTCGAACACGCCGAACACGTCATGCCCTCGATTCCCACCACCACGCGCGCTGACGTGGCACTCGCCACTGCTGATGACGTGCCACCTGGCGATAAAGTCGCCATTGCTGGCGATAGTACCGCCTGGCTGGACAAGAACGGTATGAAAAGGCACGCGTCAACTGCAGCTCGTTAGAATATAGTTAAAATCCACGCAAACCTATCTGGCCTGCTAATGTTTTGCAACTTATGCGTGTCATGAAAGATAAACTAGCTACGGGAAGAAACCCAATGCGCAGGAGACGAAAACTCCCATCCACTGACTCCGCTCCCTGCTCGAGGACTAAGGTAGACTTCTATGCGGGTCAAAAAAAGGCAGGCACAATTACTGCTGCACTTCCAGCGATGTACGCGTTGCTTGCTTCTAAAGAGAGCTGTCGGTCAAAGTGAGTTCTACGATTGGAAAGGCCATACCTTCATTGACCGGTTACCGTTCTCGCACCTCTTCGTGAAGACATCTCGCTACGTGCAAACAGTTCGCCGCCCGCTGCACATACGATGCTGTGACCAGGGCTGTCGATTCAAGGGCATTTGCCCTTAATGCCCTGAACATTCCGGATTATGTTCGGCGCAGCTCGACCATTTTAAGGGTTTGATTCGACTGGCACTCGTGCCAGTTAAGGGCATCGTTTAGCCCTTCCTCGGACGCGTTAAGTGCTCAATCTGGGCCGTCCCCTGAATCTAAGATATACTTTCGGTTCCGCAGAACCCCCCCCCCAAAAATCTTGCGGAACACCCCCCTCCCCTAACCACCCCCTCTTTCCATAAAAGTTGCACAATAGAGCGCTAGGTGGAGGATGTTTCACTCGATTTCTATCCAATCTAGTGTGTGTCTAGTGTCGAAGTCAGCAGATGAGTAGAAATGCAGTAGGTAGTGCAGCTGTAGTTGAAGTTGGAAGTTGTGACATACAGGTTGACTGGAGTAGTTAGCAGTGAAAAGTATGTGATTTTCTTGTCTAGGATGTTGTTTAGGTTAGTTAAGTACACAACACTTTGGAGCCCAGATTTCAAGTTTACACTGGCCTGCACCCGTGACCGTTAAGGGCAAAAATTTGGTCACCTCCCTGAAAATCAGGGTCAGAATTTCAGCAGCTGAGGGCCTCAAGTTCTGCCCCCAGGGATATCGACAGCCCTGGCTGAGACGAGGGTTTTGCTCGTAGGGGCCGTGAGGTGAAGCGGTCTTTCTTGGTGACGGCTGGATGGATGGATGGATGGCCGCTCTGCGACGACAGAGCCGAGGAATGCGGAGGCCACAGGGAACGAGCGACGGTGATTTTAGGACCGTGTGTGCGACTCAGTGACCACGATTGTGCTTGCTGAATGGACGACGGGCGTTTTTAATCGGGTGTGATTTTCTCGAAATACGCTGTGCGACGTGCTGTGTCGATTGGGCGATATCCTATGTCATCGTCGTGAGCTGTGTGAGTCGTACAAGGCAACGGTCAGGAAAGCACTGCGGAAACACCTCGTGTCACTGTGTACGTACTCGTTTCATCCATCTCTGATGTCACCTTATCAATGCATTGAGGTACACGGAATAAGGGCGTATCCAGGCTCGGGTCATGGGCACTGTTCCAGCCATCCGCAATTTGCGGATGACCCGAACAACATAAAACGCCACTTTGGGTCCTCCGAACTCATGCGACCCCCAAAGAGCCGCGAAGGTTTTAGCGCCAAAATCAGGCTCCCCACAACAGTCGCATCCAATGGAGGGATGCCAGAACAGTTCGAAACATCCTTAGCAAGACCCACGCGAAACCACGCGAAACCCAGCGAAAAAACACAATCGTCAAAATTCCCGGCGTGAATCCCCAAATGCTGGGAGGGCGACGCGGGAAATTTTTGACCCACTAATGGTCACTGGGGTCAATTTGCCGAGTGGCTGGGTGCAGAGGGGTAAGACGTGGGACATTGCCCACGTGTGACACTCGACTGACGACCGCCAAAAAATGGCAGTAAATCCAGAATCGTGCAACCAGGTGATTGGTTGGGGGTGGGTCGTGCACGTCAGTCGCCCAACACCTGCACATTGACCCAAAGCTGGGGCCGCGCGCGGCTCGGCAGCCCACTTCGGGTCATGCGCAAATTCCGCATGACCCGAACAGTAGGCAGAACAGTGCTCATGACCCGAGCCTGGATACGCCCTCAATCAACAATGATGTAGAATTAACGCGGATAAAAAGTACTAGTGTAGCTGACAAGCCAACATCCGCTACACTTGTGCTTTTTTTCATCCATCTTTAGCCAACTGAAACCGTAAGTCAATGTTCTGATGAGCTAGTGGAGGCATTTTGTGGGAGAACTGCTTTTTCTATCAACCTCTGCCACCTCTCAAATCATGCCGTGCATTAACTGTCAAAGCGCGGAGGAAGGAAAACGTTGAAAAGCACTTGTACGTCAAGCAGTCAGGACGCCTATTTTGGAGGCAAACACAACGAAGAACCAACTTTCATCGGATCAACGCATGGCCTTCCGCTGTTAGCAGAGCGGAAAGTGGAGGGACTTCTGTAATAATAAAGGTAAAACAGGCGCACGCAGCTGTCGGTGGGAAGTACGCGATACGTACGCCCGGATGCGCAGCGCGGTCCTCCCGAACCTCCAATTGGGCCACTTGGCGGCGCCGGCGGCGGAATTTCTCGTCGAGGCTGGCCTTGAGGGTTCGTTTGCGAAAGCGGGGGTTTTGGCCGCATAGGGAGTTGTTTCGCAGCAGCCACAGAGGATGGACCTGCGATCATATGGAGGGGAGGGGATGATTGGAAGAGTGGCGATGAAAGGAGATTGAAGGAAAGAATGCGGTGTAGATGACTTTAAAAGTATTTCGATATTTGTTTTCCTGCTTAATTTGTGATAAGGGCCTCGGGAGCAAGAAGGAACAAGCCGTTTTGTGCTATTTAAAACGTCGAGACTCGCCCAGCTACAGCCGGGATTCGCCAGGAGGAGGCGGAATTTGTTAGCACGCTCGGAGAGGTAAAGACCATCGAGTCGACCGTGCGATTGTGGACGCACCATGAAATAAGATCAGAATTCCAAGCAGCGCCACAAGGAGCGTTCGTAACCAAGTATTCATGCCCTCTGACCTATGACTCCAAGCTAGCTAACCTGATTTGAACGAACGCGTGATCAAAGATCTGCTTGAGGTAAAACGATTTTGTGTTAGCGAAATTCGAAAACTGGACTCCTAAACATGAACATATTAGCACAGACGCCATGGGAGAGGGGCGGTGCAGGCAGGTGCGTCCAAGGAATGTAGGTTGAGAACTGCAAGAGGTGAAAGGATCAACGGACATTTATTGACAATGCGTTCAGATGGAACTTGGGACCCGACGAATCGTGTTGTTGGTGGTGCGGCTGTGGGGCGGAGTCAGATTTGTGGAAGAAATGACTGCGTTGCGAGCGAGTTGAAGTTATGCGACGCGTACTGAAGAAGTTGTGATAATTCTTTTGAGTTCCACTACTGTTATGGTGTGCAGTGCAGATGTATGTCAATGTTATTGCAGGCTTACAAAACATTCAATATTCTGAACAAAACACCAAACATATTCGACCCGGTTCATTGACGCATCTTCATTGACAAATAAATTACACGATTTGCAGTGCTGGCAAGTATGCACTCATGCTATCTGCAATATGCAATCCCACAGCAACAAGGAGGAACACGCCTATTATTAGACAGCCTGCTGCTGAAGCAGTTTATTGTGCAAGGCCCTTCTGGGATTGTGCAAGGCCCTAGCTTTATTTTGGCAAGCACAAGGTGGAGCCAACCTTGAGGGGCTCAACGCACTTGTACCCGTTAAGCTGCTCAAACAGTTGAGCCTGCTTCTTGTACAAATCTAAAATCAAGTCGGAGCATGTGTCTGTGATTCGCACCGTCCTCGACTCTCCTGCACAAGCGGCCATAGTCGGAAGAGCTGGAAAAAGGGAGCACGGAGAGCACGCATAAAAAGAAGAAGGGAGACAAGAGGAGTGATTACTGATATGCGAAACGAGAAAAGGTGATCCCCACGAGATTTTAGAATAACGGGTCAGAAGCCAGTGCGAGATCGGCAGTTCGCCTAGACAAAGGATGAACTAGCATTGGCGGTTCATCTAGTCTACAAATAAATGAGCACGACCACTCACCAGCAGAGACG